GATATGCGGAATCATTTCAGAGCCATTCTGGGCGATTCCCATTTTTCTACTTGAGTGTTTATGTGCCCTTTCCATTCTGTTTGCTTTATTCCTTTATGAAAGGGAATTCAATGAGAATAGCCCCAAGCCACTCGAGATAAAAATAGTTCATAAAATGCAGAACACTATATTTGTAATATTTCACCTAGTCGTGTGTTGGTTGTCGTTTACGTTGGTACTGGTAACAGTAGCTCTAATAGCGGTTGGTAATGGAAATGCCGTCAACAACCCCACAGCAGGAGCCATAGAGAGTGTCATGATACTGATTTTTTTCTGGCTAGTTAAGAACTCTAGCTCAGATTTTTGGTTAATAAAAAAWAAATAAAAAAAAAGACGCATCGACCAATACAGAAGGAAACGAAAGTGTAAGTCACTGACTTCGTCCAAAAAAGTAGATTGAAGTCACTAAAACCCGTGAAATAGATATTAGACTGAACTTTCCATGCACCGAACTTAATTGCATCAAAGCATGCCGCCTCATTATCACCTGATATCTATTGTTTTTAATGAGTTTGGTGCATGGAAAGTTCGACGTTCGCCCTAGGCCTAATACACGTTAGTAGACCCTTATTCCATTGTGTTTATTTGACTAATACACGTTTATTAGTTGTTTTTTTTCCACGGATTATGAATGCCTCTATTATTCTATGCCATCTTCACTTAAATGTACGACTATCAAAAAGAAGAATTTCGGCGCAGGGTACAGGGTGAATGGAATTCATTACCAATCGATATAAGAACTGGCTAAAGTTCCTTAGCTAGTTTTAAATATAGTTATTGTAAAGTTATAGCCTCTAGTTTATATGATAAACTATTTGCATTAAATACCTAGTATTAGATATACCCCTATTTATTCTATTTTCCTGCTTCATTATTTTAACTTTTATTTTAAGTTACATTTTATATCGTTTTATTATTATTGTTATTATTATTATTATTATTATTATTATTATTATCACATCATCATCATTATATGTAATAGGACTCCATACTGTCCAATTAAGAAATAATTGGACGAGGAAAATTCTGAGGACTGACAAAAATTGGATGAGGCCGTAGGCCGAGTACAATTTGGCAGTCAGAGGATTTGTATAAGTCTAAAATTATTTATTGATTGGGGAGCATGAAATCCCAATTATATAGCTGCCTAATTAATCCCATATCAACAAGACATTAAGATAAATTGATTTCTCATATTTTGTAGTTTCGGTGCTCTTAAAAAT